AGATTGTAAAAATTTTCTCCCATTCTGTAGGTTGCCTGTTCACTCTGATGGTAGTTTCTTTTGCTGGGCAGAAGCTCTTTAGTTTAATTGATACCATTTGTCAATTTTGGCTTTTGTTGCCATTGCTTTTGGTGTTTTAATCATAAAGTCTTTGCCCATGCCTATGTCCTGAATGGTATTGCCTAGGTTTTCTTCTAGTGTTTTTATGGTTTTATGTCTAACATTTACATCTTTAATCCATCCTGAATTAATTTTTGTATAAGGTGTAAGGAAGGGATCCAATTTCAACTTTCTACATATGGCTGGCCAGTTTTCCCAGCACCATTTATTAAATAGGGAATCCTTTCCCCATTTCTTGTTTTTGTCAGGTTTGTCAAAGATCAGATGGTTGTCAATGTGTGGTATTATTTCTGAGGGCTCTGTTCTGTTCCATTGGTCTGTATCTCTGTTTTGGTACCAGTACCATGCTGTTTTGGTTACTGTAGCCTTGTAGTATAGTTTGAAGTCAGGTAGTGTGATGCCTCCAACTTTGTTCTTTTGGCTTAGCATTGTCTTGGCAATGCGGGCTCTTTTTTGGTTCCATATGAACTTTAAAGTAGTTTTTTCCAATTCTGTGAAGAAAGTTATTGGTAGCTTAATGGGGGTGGCATTGAATCTATAAATTACCTTCTGCAGTATGGTCATTTTCACGATATTGATTCTTCCTATCCATGAGCATGGAATGTTCTTCCATTTGTTTGTGTTCTCTTATTTCGTTGAGCAGTGGTTTATAGTTCTCCTTGAAGAGGGCCTTCACATCCCTTATAAGTTGGATTCCTAGGCATTTTATTCTCTTTGTAGCAATTGTGAATGGGAGTTCACTCATGATTTGGCTCTCTGTTTGTCTGTTATTGGTGTATAGGAATGCTCGTGATTTTCGCACATTGATTTTGTATCCTGAGACTTTGCTGAAGTTGCTTATTAGCTTAGGGAGATTTTGGTCTGAGATGATGGGCTTTTCTAAATATACAACCTGCAAACAGGGACAATTTGACTTCCTCTTTTCCTATTTGAATACCCTTTATTTCTTTCTCCTGCCTGATTGCCCTGGCCAGAACTTCCAACACTATGTTGAATAGAAGTGGTGAGAATACAATGTTCTTTTCCCACTATTCTTGTATTACCCCTATTTCCATTTCTTTTCCAAATATGTCTATATTGCCATTAAAAGAAAAGCCTAATATACAGGGAAGCTGGAAAAAGTGCTGACTATTTAAAGAATGTATTTCACAGTAAATAATCTCTGTATTTATCCAGTGTCTTTCCCTCTCTTTCTTTCCTTCCTTCCCTTCCTCCCTTCCTTCCTTCCTTCCTTTCTTCCTTCCTTCCTTCCTTCCTTCCTTCCTTCCTTCCTTCCTTCCTTTCTTTCTTTCTTTTCTTCTTTCTTTCTTTCTTTCTTCTTTCTTGTTATTATACTTTAAGTCCTAGGGTACATGTGCATAACGTGCAGGTTTGTTACATATGTATACTTGTGCCATGTTGATGTGCTGCACCCATCAACTCATCAGCACCCATCAACTCGTCATTTACATCAGGTATAACTCCCAATGCAATCCCCCCCCCTTCCATGATAGGCCCCGGTATGTGATGTTCCCCTTCCCGAGTCCAAATGATCTCATTGTTCAGTTCCCACCTATGAGTGACAACATGCGGTGTTTGGTTTTCTGTTCTTGCGATAGTTTGCTGAGAATGATGGTCTCTAGCTGCATCCATGTCCCTATAAAGGACACAAACTCATCCTTTTTTATGGCTGCATAGTATTCCATGGTGTATATGTGCCACATTTTCTTAATCCAGTCTGTCACTGATGGACATTCGGGTTGATTCTAAGTCTTTGCTATTGTGAATAGTGCCTCAATAAACATACGTGTGCATGTGTCTTTACAGCAGCATGATTTATAATCCTTTGGGTATATCCCCAGTAATGGGATGGCTGGGTCATATGGTACTTCTAGTTCTATTTCCCTCTTTTTCACACAAGCAGAACCTTGTAAGCACACAAAAATATGAGCACTATAAGGAAGCCAACTATTTTGGATTTATTTCATGAGACATAATATCTACTTGTACCTTTTTAGAAAGAAAAACCACTTACTTGCCAAGTTTTTGAACTTTACAAAAGTTTTGGGTTCACATTATGATATTTCTAAGTTGTACCAAAATTTAGAGATGATAAAGAGATGCACTTCAGGGATTCATTCCCTCCCTTACTGTGGCATCTTCCATCTCTCTCAAGGCAAACTAACTTTCACAAAGTAACATGATTAAACATAGTTAAGTAGGAAAGGTACTACCTAAATGTATATAGATTTAATTATTCAGTAAAGCGACTAACATGACTTGGAAATCAGCCTTGGTAAACTGAGACAGATCAAGCGTGATAGAACTGGTATGACTGCACTCTTTGGGGCCTGGGATATTCTCTAAATGTGATTCTACTGGACAGAATGAAGAATACAATTAGTAAAATTTCAGGGAACTTGAGAGTTTTTAATCAAACTCTGTGTGTTGTCCAGTCCTGTGACTTCTGCCCTGGCTCTCTTGAATAAACTCCTCTCTTTGTTTTGAGACAGGTCTCACTCTCTTGCACAGGCTGGGTTCAATTGATCCTCCTGCCTCAGCCTCACAAGTAGCTGGGATTATAGGTGTGCCCCACCACACCCAGATAATTTTTAAAATATTTTTGTGGAGATGGGGTCTCACCATCTTGCTCAGGTTGGTTGCATTGAATAACCTCTTTTACCCCTGCTTTCTATTTATAGAATTAGCAGTTTAAAACTTCAGGTAAAAGAGTTCAGCGTGAAGCTTGCATCACTGTGATATATGATGCTTTATTGGCAGAATTTAGGGAATGTTTTTGTAAGTAAAACTGTGAACATAGGTTGCATCTGGGGAGGGAAACTGGGGGCCAGAGGAGAGAGAGTTTTTTCTTTTTCTTTTTTTGAAATGGAGTCTCACTCTATCACTTAGGCTGGAGTACAGTGGTGTGATATCGGCTCACTATAACCTCCGCCTCCTGGGTTCAAGTATTTCTCCTGCCTCAGCCTCATGAATAGCTGGGATTACAGGTGTGCCCACCACACCCAGCTAATTTTTGTATTTTTATTAGAGACGGGGTTTCACCATGTTGGCCAGACTGGTCTTGAACTCCTGACCTCAGGTGATCCACCCACCTCAGCCTCCTAAACTGCTGGGTCACAGGTGTGAGCCACCACACCCGGCCAGGAGATTTTTACTGTGTATCTTTTTGTTCCTTTTGAATTGAGAACCATGTGAACATACTGCCTAGTCAAAAATAAATTTTAAAATGTTATATAATAAAAATAAAATCAGTCCTTAGTTAAATAAAAGTATCCTATCTATATTGTTAAAAACTTTGTCTATATCCCTAAAAAGCCATCAGATTCTTCCAGTCAGCTCAAATGTTAGTATTGAACTTACACTACCATCTCTAAGCAAGCAAACAATAAAAAGTCTTGAACCTTATGATTGGCATTACAGAATTCTGGGAAATTTTAGAGAGCTGATCCTGTACGGCACCAAAAACATAGTATGGAAATATATTTAAAGATACAAACAGAAGACATTTAGAAATGGCTGTAATTTGGTCTGCTTTGAAATGTAATGTTATACTTCCATTTTCTGAGTAAAAGAGGGAGAAAAGAAAACATTAAAAACATTTGTAAATGTGGTCTTTTGTTTATGTAAATGGGATGATCCAATGATCATTATTCTGTGACTTGTCTTTCCTACTTAATAATAAATATTGAAGAATATTCCTTTTTGTTTGTTTGTTTTTTTGAGACAGGGTCTCACTCTTGCCCAGGCTGGAGTGTAGTGGCTCGAGCTCGGCTCGCTGCAACCTCTCCCTCCCGAGTTCAAGTGATTCTCCTGCCTCAGCCTCACGAGTAGCTGGGACTACAGGAGTGTGCCACCACGCCCAGCTAATTTTTGTATTTTTAGTAGAGATGGGGTTTCAGCATGTTGACCAGGATGGTCTCTATCTTTTGACCTCGTGATCCTCCCACCTTGTCCTCCCAAAGTGCTGGGATTACAGGTGTAAGCCATCACAACCGGCCCAGAGTATTACTTTTAAACATCCATTTAGTCAAATACTAACACGTATTAAAAGAAAGAGTTAACTTTGACTACCATAATTTTTTTAAATGTTAAATATGAGAAAGTTGGTGCCCCATTTAGTGGAGAATGTATACTTTACTAAGTTTCTTAAGGTTCATATTTTTATATACGGTAAAGCGCTAATACAGGATAATACTTCTTCCCTAGAGCAGCAGCGTTTAAATTCTTTGGACCACTCATTCCTTTAAAAAATTGTTGTACATACAGGATCTTAGACTCAGAAAATCTCCAGGCACATTAATTTTGTTTATATTACAACTTTAGGGGTTTTTAAGGTTCTTAAAGCTCAACTGTGCATCTTAAGTTAAGCACCATTGATTAAAGACCCTTTATAAATGAAAAAAATCTTTATTGCATGTACACCTAATTGGAATGGCTACCTTGGCTGGATTTGGATGTAGAAAATTCCCTTTCATTCTTATTGCTACTGAGAATTTCTTCTTCCTCATTTCAGTGCTGGTAATCACTGTGGCCCCACTGAAGTGATCTAATGCTCTTCTTCCCACATCAAATTCCAGATCTGGAATTCCCTTGGCTTTGTTTTCATATTGGTTCTGTGATGGCAGGACTGGGCAGGCAATAAAGGGTGTGGGGAGGCAAGAGGAAGAAGAGTAAAAAGGGGACAACTCTATCCCTTCTCCATATCTTACTTCCCCTTACAGCACAAAGCATGCATAAGACCCGTTATACAAATGGAAGTGAGAAGAAGGCAAAAAGAGACAATTTCTTTTTAAGTTATGGAATTACTTTGGTTAACTTATCCCCAACTTTGTTCAAAATGAGATAGATATCTTAGACAAATGTTATCCTGACCATCATACCTTAACAAAGCATTTGAGAGTTGAGCAGAAAGATATTCCAACATCAGCAAGACTCCAACTGTCCTTTAGAGCGGCTCCAGCATACATTAACTCCAGATACCGCCTGCCTTGTTTGTCTTCAGAGAGAGGAATGTGGAAATAATCCTTAAAAATCAATAGCATATGATGAAAATAGTACATTTCTACATTACTAGACCAGAAATGTACTCTCTTTCCCTTTACATTTTTTTCCTCTGGGCATTATAATTGGGACAAATGGAAGAAGTATTAAATAGAGGTTCTTAACTTAGAGAACTTCCAAAACGTTTATGGATAGAATTTAGATAGGAAGAAACTACATCTTTATTTTATTAACTCTAAATGAAATTGAGATTTTCTTTCAATTACACATGTAGGCAGCAAATTAAAGTAGGAGTAGTCGCTGCACCTGTGACTGACACCAATAGAAGTCACAGATGTTTTCATATCACATTATAGTTGTTGCAAATATTTCAAAATATTATTTCTACTGATCTGTATTTTGAAAATACAATAGTTATTAGATGAGCTGCTAGAACTTGTTAGTTAATGTGTTAATTAGGAAGTCCACATGTCACTGTATCATACATTTGGGCTTTTTAATATTTAAAAATGTATTTTAATATAACAAATTTCATTTCTCTTATATCTGTTTTATTTTATGCATTTAAAGACATTCTGAGAAGCAGTCTATAGACTTCACCAGACTTTCAAAGGGATTCATAAAACATAGAGTTTAAGGTCCCTTGTGTTACAAGAATTAGATTTCAGTCATCATAATAATCTGAATATCATGTAAGTATGGTTCGGTAAATGCTGCTTAGCAAATAGGCATGACTGTCTCCAAGTTAAATATTTGATGATCAGAAACTAAATATTTTGCTTAATTTTTTACTTTAGAGTGAACATTTACATGAAATTTATAAGGAAGATACTGTACACAAGTTATTTCTTATTCTGGCTTTGTGATCCTAGGTAAGATAGTCAACCTCTCTGAGCTTCAGTTTTTCCTGAATGCAGAATGAAGCCATAGCTCACAAGTTCTCTAAAGTCCTCTCTGCTTCCAAAATCCTTCGGTTCTTTGTAGTTGTTTGCTCACCAAATAAGACATTTATCTGATGACTGGCATGTCCCACTTATATAGCCTGAAGTTAGTGTCTTGCTTTTGTCCTTTTACGAAGAATTGCAATAATATTATCTGGCCTATGCACAACCCACACATTCCCTAAAAAGAAGTCAGACTTTTGTTTTTGTTTTCTTGGGAATTGACTGACTCTTTGTTTTCTTGTCTAATGCCACCAGAGTTACTGTCTTCTTAGAAATCTATTGTGTAAGCAAATAATAGTATTTTCAAATAATTTTCATTCCGTTTTTGCTGAAAATGTGCCCAATAGCATCTCTACCCTTTGTACATTTTTAAATGCACTGCATTGTTAAAATTAATATACATTTTGATGGCTTGGGAATGAAGTACATACCTTTATCATCAGCTTGACAACCTCCACAGTTTCATCTGCTGAAATATCAAATGGTTCAAAAGATCCTTCAAAAGCGATGAAAATCCTCATTGTACAATTACCTTTTCAAACAAAAAATACCCAACTTTTTTAAAGATCCTCCTGGATGGCTGGAAAAATTCCAGTTCACAATTAAGGACAAAAATGATAGCCAAAGGCAGCGGTCACTGTCTAGCCTCAAAGGTAAGTTGCAGAATGTGAAGAGCCTAGTCCCACAGTGCCACAGTATCAGGCAACACAGACACCAGCTACAGTGGAGGAAGTATTTATCTGCTGAAGGCAGTAGTCAATAGCCACCTTATTCCTATATTACGGAAACCAGCAAACTTGACAATGGTTGAGGCAAGTATGGACAAGCTTCAAGCATGTGATACAAAAAGCCTACTCATAAATTATACTTCTGTGGTGTGGTGCCCGTCAACTGACTCCTGAATTCTTAGGTACTTAAGTACAGCTGATTGAAGAACCCTTAAAAATAGATATTTGATTGGGATGCACTAGCACAGGGTGAAGCAAAACAAGAGTTGATTTTATTGAATGTGATAATCCTGAAAGTTCTCTGTAAATAACTCTGAGCTGAAACATTCTGGTTTCCATGACAACTTTGTGTACTTGTTCTCTGGCAGTATTTATAATCCTGCCACAGGGTACAGAACAATACCCACTTGCACCAGGGAGATGAATGTGTAGGCAAATCATTCTGTGGCTTTCTCTTCCGATTTCTCTATAATAGAATCTGCTGAGTAGCAACACAATATAGTTGATATTTTCTTTAATCCTTGCCTTTATGTTATTTAGAACAATTTCCCATTGTTATCTCCTTCGACCCCCACTTAGTGTTGGTGGAAAATATTTCAAACCCCCTCAATAAGTGAGCAAATAAGCTGGGCATGGTGGCACATGCCTGCGATCCCACGTACTCAGGAAACTGAGATGGGAGGATAGTTTGAGTCCAGAAGTTTAGGGGTGTAATGCACTTTGATTGCCCCTGCGAATAGCCACTGTACTCCAGCCTGGGGAACATAGCAAGAATCTGTCTGTTTGATATAATAGAAGAAAATACTGCGTTTTTAAAAGGAAAGATAATGTATTAAGAATAAATTTGGCCAGGTGTAGTGGCTCACGCCTGTAATCCCAGCACTTTGGGAGGCCAAGTCAGGCAGATCACTTGAGGTCAGGAGTTCAAGACCAGCCTGGCCAACATGGTGAAACCTTGTCTCTACTAAAAATACAAAAATTAGCCAGGTGTGGTGGTGTACACCTGTAATCCTAGATACTCTGGTGGCTGAAGCACAAGAATCACTTGAACCCTGGAGGCGGAGGTTGCAGCGAGCTGAGATCTCACCACTGCACTCCAGCCTGGGTAACAGAGTGAGACTCTGTCTCCAAAAAAAGAGAAAGAAAGAAGGAGGAGTGGAGAGAGAGGGAGAGAGAGAGAGAAAGAATAATCTTAACAAGAAATGTGTAAGAGCTGTATAACATAAACATAAAAATACAATCAATAAACATAAAAAAAGGGCTGAACAAGTGGCAGGTGTATCATAACTTTGGAAGGAAGGTTCAAAATTATTTAAAGTCATCAATTCTTCCTAAATTCATCTATAAATTAATATTATCTCAATAAAAATAACAGCAAGATTTTTTTGTTTATATAAGCCAGATGGTTCTAAAATTCATGTAGAGAAAGCAGGCAAGGATAGCTGGAAAAACTCTGGGAAAGAAGAGTAATGAGGGGGCACTCACCTACTAGATGTTAGAATTTAATATAAGGCTACAGTAATTAAAACAGGATTGTACTGGCATATGAAGAGTCAGAGAAATCAAAGTAAAAATAGAAAGCATAGAAATGGATTCAAATACATACAAGAATTCAGTGTATGGTAAAAGTGACATCTAACATCAGTGGAGGTGGAGTGGGGAAATAAGATAAATTATTAATAATGATGGATTAACCAAGTAGTCACCTGAAAAAACAAAAAAACTGGAGCCTTACTTTTTACCTTACAGCAGGAGAAATTAAAAACAAGTCTAAAACGAGTTTAAAAATTTAAATGGGAAAAATTGAATCATGAAAACTTTAAGTCTTCTTATATTTTAGGAGATTTTTCAATCATCTTGAGTAATAAGTCCTTTCTAACTGTGACCAAAATTCCTAAAGCTGTAAAAAAAATTGTTAAATTCAACTATTTTTTAAAATCTACATGGAAAAATAATTTGACATAAAACCGGGGATAAATAAAGTTAGAAAAATATCTGCAGCCGGGCACGGTGTCTCAAGCCTGTAATCCCAGCACTTTGGGAGGTCGAGGCGGGCGGATCACAAGGTCAAGATATCAAGATGATCCTGGTCAACATGGTGAAACCCTGTCTCTACTAAAAATACAAAAATTAGCCAGGCGTGGTAGCGGGTGCCTGTAGTCCTAGCTACTCGGGAGGCTAAGGCAGGAGAATCACTTAAACCCGGGAGGTGGAGGTTGCAGTGAACTGAGATCGCGCCTCTGCACTCCAGCCTGGTGACAGAGTGAGACTCCACCTCAAAAAAAAAAAAAAAAAAAGAAAAAAGAAAAAAGAAAAATACCTGCAATTCTTCATGCATGTAAAAGGTGCATTTAATATATAAAGAGCACCCACAAACATTTTAAGGACATGATGCCATTTTTCACTAGGAAATTGGAAAAGATCCAAAAGTTTGATTGCACACTCTTGCTGAGTCTGTTCCAGTGATACTTTGCTATAGGGAATGTGATTTGGTACAACCCTATATAAAGGAAAATTTGGAAATATGTATTAAAATTACAAATGCACATATTCTTTGACCCAATGATTTAATTTTTAGGACTTTATTTTTACAAATATTTATATGCTTATTTGTAAAATGATCTAGATATGACATTATTCATTGCAGAGTTGTTTGTAATAGCAAAAGATTAGAAACACCTTTCATGCCCATCAGTAGGGAACTGATTAAAACAAATTATTTTTCATTATACAAGACTATACAGCTATTGAAAAGAACAAAGAAGTTTTTTCTATACCACTATTGAAAAATCTTTAAGGTATATCATTTTATGAAAAAAGCAAGGTATAAAATACAGTGTGCAGTACATTGCCATTTGTGGAAAAAAAGGGAAAAATCACATCTATATCTATATCTGTAGATATAAATCTGTTTTGTGCGTATACCTCAAAATCCCTGGAAATATATTCAGAAAACTAGAAAATTTGGTGCCTGTGGAGAGGAGACTTAAGTATCAAGGGTGAGGACAATATTTTTCATTGTATTATATTTTTCTTTTAAATATATTTTATTTTTATTTTTATTTTATTTTTTAGAACAGTGTTAGGTTCGCAGCAAAATTGGGTGGAAAGTACAGAGAGTTCCCATATACCCGCTACCTCCACATATGACAGTATCCTTAACTATCAAAATCCTGAACCAGAATGGTTCATTTTTTTTTTACAAATGGTGAACATAGATTGATACATCATTATCACCCAAAGTCCATAGTTTACACTAGGGTATTGTACAACACTCTTGTTGTATATTTTATGGGTTTTGACAAATGTATAATGACCTGTACACACCATTATAGCATCATAGAGGGTAGTTTCACTGCCCTAAAAATCCTCTGTGTTCTGTTTATTCATCCCCCACTTCCTTTGCCTGTCCCCCAATCTTGGCAATGAAGAACATCTTGGTTGCTTCCAAGTTTTGGAAATTATAAATAAAACTCGCATAAATATCTGTATACAGGTTTTTGTATGAAGTTTTCGACTCCTTTGGAGAAACACCAAGGATCATGACTGCTGGATCATGTGGTAAGAGTATGTTTAGTTTTGTAAGAAACTGCCAAACTGCCTTCTGGAGTGACTGTACCATTTTGCATTCCCACCAGTAGTGAATGAGAGTTCAGTTCCTGTTTCTCCACATCCTCACCAGGACTTAATAGAGTGTTTATATTATCTTTTTATTATTTTAAAATTTTGATCCATGTGAATGCATTAAATGAAATAAAATGGAAAAAAAAAAAGTCCAACTTGCAGCCCTTCTAAGAAGCCTTCTTGATGTCCCCAGGGAAGTTGACTTTTTTTTTCGATTCCCCTCCTGCATCATACATTCTTTAACTATAGGATCTTTTATACTGCATCGATTTATTATGTCAGTGGCAGCCTCCTCCACTAGACTGTGAGCTTCCTGATGGTGGGGCAGTGTCTTATTCTCCTTTGTATCCCCAGTGGCCTAGCCCAGAGCCTCACAATGGATGAATAGACAAGCTAGATTAATATCATTAAAAATTGCCTTGTAACAATGAAATGACAGGTAGACTTGAAAAACTCATAGCAGTTTAGAGACAGCTTAAAATGATAAAGATTACACTTGATTCTCTCAGTTGCAATTTAGGAACAGCTTGCCTTAGCATCTAGAGGCCCTTTTTGAGTTATTTTTCTTTTTCCAAGAGTGGTAAAACTAAGTTAATTAGCCTACTGGGGACCTCCTACATGCAATGGAATATGCTAGGTCTTTGGCAGATTTGGTCCTAAATATGATCTTAAGGGATTTGCTATGAGTAGGGAAGAAGACAGATGTCCAAAACACCTGGACCAGGGACCATATTGTAGGATGAAGTATAAGAAAGATGCAAATAAAATAGAAGGTATGGAGGTGAAGACACATTTGATCTGAGATAAGATATATTCTTAATTCATTTATTCATTCAGTACATGCACACTGTAGGAAAGTTGTGGTATCCTTCTTCACCCATCATAAGGGTCATGGCCAACACTCCTATAACAAAAGACAGATTAGTAAGAGAAAAGCGTAACAAATCTATTCAATCAAAGTTTTAGTGACACGGGGACTTCAGAAATGAAGATTCAAAGACCCAGGGAAAACTGTTCATTTTAATGCTTAGATTTGATGTGAAGAATGAACAGCCATGTAGAAGTGAAATTGGACAAAGGGATATAATCTAATGGTAAGTGACTAAGGGGGAAAACTCAGCAAGGCCTGTCTGTTCATAGTTTTCTTGGCCTTTCTTTGTAGCACCCCTTCCTCCCAGGTGTAGGATAGGACCCCTCTGGAATGAGGGTCTTTAAGGAAGAAGGGAGAGAGTCACCTTTCTAGGTTTTATAGCTTACATTAGAGGTGAGGAGTTCGAGTTTTTACGACCTGCCTTGGGGAAGAGGAATACTGGTTTTTTTTTGCCTCCCTTCAGGGGAGGAGGGAGTGTGGGAAACCAGAGGGCAGGAGAAGGTCGCAAGAGACTTTGCTTCTGAGGTTGCTACTGAGACCTTCCAGTTTTCTTTAGTTCAAAGGACTCAGTATGCCAAAGTGACATACTTCTGAGTATCATTTTCTAAGCTGAACAGCACTGAGCCCCTAATATGTGTCAGGCACTGTTCTGTGCTGGATTATTGCAGTGAATAAGACATGGAGCTTCCAGTGTAGTGTGTATATGTGTGTATGTGTCTTTGGGGTGGAGATGAGAGTAAGAATAGGTAGGGAATCAGGGGAGGGCAAATACAATAATTAAGTAA